CCCCAAAACCCCAAAACCCCAAAACCCCAAAACCCCAAATGATTTACATCTCGGTTCATTCAGATTTAAGAAATTAAGTTTAAATAAAGTCAGCTTCAATCGATGAGGTATCAAAATATTTCTCTTTTACTTTGATAATGATCCAAAGGTAATGCTATAAAAGTTGGCGTTAAATATGTTTAATAGTTTACTTACGCTCATATTATTTCTCCTTTATAACCAGACACTCTGTTGTAAGAAGCATACCTGCTAGTGATACTGAATCCTATAGAACAGTCTTGATCACATTCAGACTGTCAACCACTCCAGTATCTACCATATCAACTATTTCCTCTACACAGTAGTTATCATCTACACTAAACTTACCCTTTCTACAGTCAAAGCCAGCAAATATATTGTTAGATTCTTCAATTTTATTAATGATATGTCCACAATCTTTGCCTATCTTATTCTCAATCACCATTCTAAGAGGAGTTTACAGAGCATCTGCCATAACTTGAACTCCAATCCTATAGCAATTTACTAGCATCAATCCTTACCTTTCATTCTCATCATCCACTAAATGCTAAAGACCATTTCTAAGCGCTTTTGATGCTTGATATAAAGCAACTCCACCCCCTGGTAAAAGTCCACTCATCATAGCTGCTTTAGCCGAGTTCAGACTGTCCACGATGATATCTCTTAACTCGCCTCTTTCAGCCTCGGTTCTACCTCCTACTTCAATCTCTGCAATCTTGGCTCTCATCCTCTGATATCTGTCTCTCAGTATCTGCTTTAGATGAGGACTCTTTTCCTAGGCTAAAGCTAACTAGATTTCATAGAGTCTATCATCAATCTTTTCCTGCACTCCACTCCCACCAACAATGTGAGTGTTATAGCCATCTACAACAATCTTCTTAGCTGAGCCAAAGTGCTATATCTTCACGTCCTCTAACTTTAATTCGTATTCATCATCTACAAGAGTAGCGCCAGTTTAAATGGCTATATCTCTTAACTGCTCTTTCTGTACGTTTGCCATCCAGGGCACATTCACGGCACATGATTAGATTATACCTTTGGAGTTGTTAAAGACCATCATAGAGAGAGGGTCCTCTTACAAGTCCTCGGAGAACAGAACGAATGAACGTTTGGTTGGTTTTATGACTTCAAGTATGTGAGATATTTATTATACTGTTTTTACTTTATTTCCTACTACTAACACTAGTGGGAATTCTAGTTCACATCTAAATGGAAGTAATTAATGGCATTATCTTACTTTTATTAAACTTTAAATTCAGTGACGAAATTGTCTGAGACAAAACCCCTTTCATAGATAAGTCCATTAACCAAGTTAAATTTATTTCTTCCAGTCGGGCTCTCCACGATATTGACATTTCCTTCGAGTCCAACAGCATCCATTGTCTAAGCAACAATTCTAGCTATTTCTTGGTTGTAATTGCTAGAGACCATGCAAATGTTAAATATCTCATCTTCAGTGGTCACTGGCATAGCCATATTCTTCAAGAAGTCTAGAACAACTAACAGTGCCTTGTCCATGCCTCTTTTCAATCCTATGGGATGTGCCCCAGCAAATTCTACAGCAAAGTAACCTTTCCTAACTCATTCAATGTTATCAATCATGATTTCTTACTTTAGCAGTTAGTTGCCCAGCAGAAAAGAAGTGGTGGTGCCGTCTCCAGCATATAGGTTAGTATTACCTGCAATCTTCTTCATCATTCTAGCTCCCATGTCCTCCTCTCTTATTGGCTCAATGATAGATTTGACTACTGTAACTCCGTCCTTTGTTATCTTTGGATCGCCGCCCTCATACTCTAAAGCCACATTCCTTCCCTGTATGTTACACTCAAGGATAATTAATGTATTACACCTGGTCCAAGAGTGATTTAGACTGTCTCAGATAATCTAGAGACACCCCTTATTATAGCGTTACGCGCTTCTGACCCAAACTTCAATCTCACAGTCTTATAAGATGGCTTAAAATTGACTTTAGGTTTAGGCTATAATTGAACTCTGTGGAGGGAATCATTTATAGATTGGTAACCCCTTTGACTCTTATTGATTAGAGAGACCAACTCAGTCTTGTGAAATCTATTCAGAATTTACTTCATTTTACTGAAATTATAATCAAATTATAATGATTTATTTTAGCCCTACAATAATTACTAGGATCTAGAATTGCGGGGTTTTGGGGTTTTGGGGTTTTGGGGTTTTGGGG